AATTTAAACAAGGCAAAATAAAACAGAGAATCAATTTATTGCTCAAAGCTTTTAAAGCTCGAGTGCAGCAAAAGAGACGAGAGAAGAGAATGCACTGAAAAGAAACCAAAACAAAACAAACAATGTATAAAACCTAATCAACTCACGTCACGCTGGGAGAGCGTAAAGCTCGCTCAGCACGCCATCGAAATATGAGAAATATGAGAACGAGGGAATTAATTAATAAAACATCTAGTCAAATTTTTTGAACAGCGCTCACTTCATTCAGTGCACAAAATGTTGTCGAAGCAGTTGGCTGGATGGCGAGAGCTCAGCGCTCGAGTGTTCAAAATCGAGAGGGCGTTTGGCACAAAGGTATAGATACTCATAGATATATATAATATAATCAATAAATAATATTTATAATCCCAATATATCCAGGCCTCTGCTGCTGCTGTAGATGCCATTCCTCTGGAGCAAGCGAAACCCTTCTCGGAGCTTCCGGGTCCCAGCAAATTCGAGTTTGTGCGATCTTTTCTCCCAGGCGGTGAGTGAGCGAAAGCTGTTAAAGAGTTCCTCTCTTCGAGTTCCTCTCACCTACTATGCGCTCTTTCAATATATCTCTCTTCGGTTCAACTTTTCTGTCTTATCACCGACCAATCGCAGGTCGCTATAAGAATGTGGCGGTGCACGAAATGTTTCTGGATATGAACAAGCGCTATGGCGACATATTTCGCATGCCTGGCGTGGCGGGCACTGATATTGTGATCACCTTGAATCCGGTGGACTATGCCACGATCTTTCGCAACGAGGGACAGTATCCGTATAGGCGCAGCTTCGAGACCTTGGATTATTATAAAAAGGTACACAGACGCGATATATTCGAGGGCGCTGACGGTTTGACTTCCGGGTGAGTTGCAAGAGAAGATTAACGAATTCTTGGCTCTAATTGGCGTATCTCCTTGCTTAGCAATGGACCCGCTTGGAGCAAGATGCGAACTGCTGTCAATCCGATTCTGCTGCAGCCACGAAACGCCAAGCTCTATATAAACAATTTGCAACACGTGAACGATGAGTTCCTGGACCGGTAAGCTCGAAGATCTGGGATCTAAGTCCTCTCGACTGACAATGGATGTTTTCCCCTGGCAGCATTCGAGCCATTAGAGACCCGAGCACTCAAGAGATGCCGGCTGACTTTGGCGAAGATATTCGTCGGCTGGTCCTGGAGTCCATTGGATCCGTGGCGCTCAACACGCGCCTCGGCCTTCTCGGCGAGAACCGGGAGAGTGAGGAGGCGAAGCAGTTGATTAAGGCATTGGAGAACATACTTGAGCTGAGCTTCCAACTGGACATCATGCCGCCGATCTGGAAGTACCTGCCAGTGCCCATGTTCAAGAAGCTGATGCGCTCCTTGGACACCATCACAGACATATGCTATAACCACGTACAGCAGGCGCTGCACCGCATCGAGGAGGATGCGCGGGTGGGCCGCATCACCACTGAGCCAGGGCAGGAGGCTAGCATATTGGAGAAACTGGCGCACTTTGATCGCAAGGCGGCCGTGATCATTGCCATGGACTTGTTCTTCGCCGGCGTGGATCCAGTGAGTGCTCCAAATCCGTGTCGAGTTCCGGATTCCATTTCTTCAATCCTCCATTTCAGACCCTCGTCAGCCTGACTGGTACTCTGCTGAGCCTAGCCAAGAATCCTGAAAAACAGGCCCGCCTGCTGGAGGAGATCAGGGCTGTGCTGCCCGAGAAGAGCTCCGAGCTAACCATAGAGAACATGGCCCATTTGCCCTACCTGCGCGCCTGCATCAAGGAGGGCATTCGCATGTATCCCATCGGCCCTGGAACCCTGCGCCGCCTGCCGTGCGACGTGGTGCTCAGTGGCTACCGGATCGTGGCTGGCAAAGATGTGGGCATGGCTGCCAACTACCAGATGGCCAACATGGAGCTGTTTGTGCCGCGGGTGCGCGAGTTTCTGCCCGAGCGCTGGCTGCGCGACGAGACCAATGCGAATCTGGTGGGCGCCACGGCCACGCCCTTCATGTACCTGCCTTTCGGCTTCGGGCCGCGCGCCTGCGCCGGCAGGCGCATCGTGGACATGCTGATGGAGATAGCCGTGGCCAGGCTGGTGCGCAACTTCCAAGTGGGCTTCGACTACCCAATTGAGAACGCATTCAAGGCGCAGTTCTTTGTGAAGCCCAACATTCCGTTCAAGTTTAAGTTTGTGGAGCGCTCCATGTAATCCCTCACATCCGTACATAAATATAAAAGAACCGCTTAGCAATGATACCTCCAACATATGGCAAGGAAACACCCTCAGCAGCTCCTTCAGAGCCAAGAGTTCCAGCCTCTCAAGAGTTCCAGCTCCAGCTCTCGCCCAAGTGTCCCCCCAGCCGAGCAACAGCAGCAACTACTTGACTCAATTGATTTGCTCGCCTGCTCCTGTGGATCTGTCAAGTGCACTTGTCTGTGCCCGCAAAGGAACAAGCACTTGACTGCCTTTCGAATGTTAACGTGTCTGTGACGTGGCGTATCGTGGGCCCTGCCTTCTGTGTGGCATCTGAAGAATGGTTAACGATTTGGACTCAAGTGCGAAACTATGTGCTAATGCCCTTGAGTTGTGTGCTCTAAGTGGGAGCTATCTTGGGTCTATACTAAGATTGAGGTGGATCATAATGATACGGTATATCTTGTTCACATATTTTACAAAAGTTTAGTTTAATATCGTGTTTCATTGTAAATAGTTAAATAATATAAGTAATTATATAATATTTTGGAGTACATGTTTTCAC